GCTTACTAAGTCTCGGTTTAATGTAAACAACTGATGGTTATAAGGACACGAGACACTGCACATATTTCAGCTACGAGATATTTTTCAAACTGTTGTGTATTCTGAACGAATAGTGATATAATACGTGCGTTGAAATTAAACAAGACTATATATTTACGAGTATATTTTGAAAATTGTAAAAGAATTATAAAATGTTTATTTTGTTGTTCGAGAGAATCTTAGCTTACTTTAGCAAATAACTACTGTAATATTTTTGTTACGCGTTGATTTGTGATCGAGATACTATATTTAAGAGTGAAAGACATTGTACGAGCTGGTCCTACGAGAAAATAAGCCTAATAAATATAGTTAACTTACTGTGGTTTCTATTCTTCCTGTAAAAAGTAGAGTCCAGAAACGAAGAATAAAATCACACGATGTTGTCCGTTTGAAACAATTTATATTCGAAGATACTCTTAAAAGGCATATCAAGGCGACATGATACAATATTCCGACGATAAACGACATCGCACAGTGTGTATATTTACAAACGATGATATTTGTCATGACGTCAAAAATTTTGTTAAATACATTTATTATTATATAAAACGCGCTGAAGGCTTTGGCAAAAACGGCCAGATTAATTATTCATGAGTGACATCTGAATGAATTGACGATTAGAAAAACGTATAAAAGGGAACGAAAGATCGATTGCTATCGGCAGTTTCGAAGGTCTTTTTTTTTTCTTCTTTTTTTTTTTAATTCGTTAGGAGTAGAGGGTATTCTTATCTATAAAGATGCGACCATAAATACGTCATGCTAGAAATGTACTTACTTCGTTAGATTTTAGGCGTGATTTCTAATAAATTAGAAGTAAAAAGAAAGCACTATCTTGCATACGGTACGACAAAACTTATTCGTAAAACGCTTAATCGTATAAAGCACTTGTCTCAAAATCGTGTTACTGACGCTTTATAATCACAATATCCTTCATACTGTTAACGTATGAATAACTATATAAGCGACTTCCTTATCGATAAATATTAAAGTAAAAATCACGTAAAACGTTACTTAAAAATTACGATCAAGAAATAAATAATTCTACCCAAATGATGTATTCTTGAATTCCTTGAAATAATTTTCGGCTCTTTTTCCTCTCTCTCTCTCTCTCTCTCTCTCGATAATTTCTCCATTACTCCGATTCATAATCTTTCTTCGCCTTCGCTTTAACTCGTTCGTATGTACATCTCTCTTTATAATATACATATTCGAAGATAGGAACAATCTCTTCGTTTAATCAATTCTCTAACAACAAACACGGTGGTAATAAATTCCTGAGTTTCTTAAAGTTTTCGAACCATTCTTCGCGAACTATTGTCTCCGTTATTCAAGATTTCTGATAATATCTTCCTAAAAGGTTTCACTCTCCTTAAATAACAAATCTCCTCCTCTCCCTTTGTAAGTCTTTGACTCAACGGAAATACTTGGCCGAAGGATAACTTAGCTCTAGAATTCCTCAAAATTGCACAACATCTCCGATAATATTGTTCATCTGTAACATTTGATTTTTCTTCTTTTATTCACGACGAGAAGCATCTCGAGATTCTCCTCTCTGCACAGCAGTGTCCTCCTCAGCTTCATCCTGATCTTCATTGTCTGTCCTCTCTCCTTCTTCCGGAGGCCTTGTCCACCTGCGAAAGAAACACGATTCACATCTAATATTTCCTTCCTGAAACACAATCGCGATGACCTAACGATGATTTCACGCAATAGTAACCTGATCAACGTCTCCGGCGATCTGTAGAGGAATATCAATTTCGCGAACAAGTCTTCTTCGAGACACAATTCCCCGCTTTCACGGACCAGATAGATATCCAGACATAATCGAAGAATCCGGTCCACGTAGGGCAGATCGTCGAACATAATTTTTGGCGCCATATCGCTCACTATCTTCCTCATCATTTGGCTGATAACTATGACCGCAGTGGTGTACAATCCTAGTATTCTACATAGACAGAAAGCTCGATGAGATTCCATTTCTTCTTGAAGATCGAATTGCAGGATTTTCAAACACTCACCCAAATCCACTGATGAAGCTCAATCCTTCCGGGAACGTTTTATCGTTGAACAAGAACATCATGATGTACTTGCAATCGTTTTGGGGCACTCTGCTTAGTAATTGATCGTACAAACTGTCGTTGCAGACTTCCCTAACGACCCACCATTTCTGGCGAGCACAGCAGTCTGCATCCGTAGACAAGTGGAGGCTGATGTTTCTGTAGAGATGATCGTCATTTTCTTCCACTTCCTCGTCGTCGAGCCATCTCGCTGTAAATTCAGAAAATTCGTTCGCTGATTCTATTTTCACGTAGAAGTAAATCTCTTTTTCTTCGTCCAACTTACGCATTCGCATTAATTGTGGAACGACGTCGGTGTTTCGACCAGTCACTTTTAGAAACTTCGGGAAAGCGTGTTTCAACGTTATGGTACCATTGTGCGCGGTGGATTCATCGCTGGATAACATATTAGCCAGCGTTCTTCTTACAGGATTAAATTCCTCGTTCACAAATGGCTGCAGTTTTATGTCTCGAACTTTTGTGGTTATTCCACTGGCGTCTTTCGCGTCTGTCTTTCGAGACACCGTCCATTCCACGTGAACCACCACTGTGGTGCTGTTATCCTCCAGTTCTGCTATCAGTCTGTATTAAGTAAAATTAGAAACAATAACGATCCAGAGTAAAATTGTGTACCTTTTCTTCTAAAAATCTTTTTTTTTCAATTTTTCAAAAGTTTCTTTTCAATTGTTGAACGGTGAAGTGATTTACGGATCACCCTATACTAATTACGAGGGTAAAATAATACCTGTCCAAGTCTGGCGGTGATATACTCCACAATTTCCGCGAGAATCCGCTCAATCTCACGGCAGCGACGTCCGAATTTATGTAATTCTCCAAGAAAGTGACAGCAGGTCTGTCTCTCGTGTACAAATGCGTGAACCTCTCGAAATCGCTTTGGGTATACTCAATGATAGAACTGCTTTGCGCCGACATAGAGTAGATAGGTTCGTAAGGACCGATTCTAATCTTCATTGAAACGTCATACGGTAAATTGGAGACACCAACTGTGCCACCAAGCGCGAACAACAGCAAGGGGAACCATATTAATCCAATCATGAAGAATAGAGCACCACCGCCGACCAAGTATTTGCTCATCTGTTGCTTCTTCACGCCCCGTGGTTGAGGGAAATCTGCTTCTACGCCTCGCATACACTGCAGTTGAAATTTATTAGTAATTTAAACCTACAACTGTATTGTGTATATTGGATAATGAACCTTTATTTGATAAATATTCGCGAATATGTCTTCCATCTTGAACCAGTCCATTATAGTCATTGAAGTGTCCGTCCAGATCCAATCCATTACTGCTCTTAACTCGAACAAGAAGGGAACTAACATGAATCTGTGGTAAAACGAAGATCAAATTGTTGTTCAATACGAATTATCAGGGGAATTTGTCGAAGTCTGATGGACGGATAAAATTCTAACCCTTTGAATAACACGTAATTGACAATGCTGTACTTCTTGCAGAGGAAATTGCCAAGTATTCGCGTTGGATAGCCTTGACGTAATTGATAGGCCGCTAACAGCAGATAGAAACACTTGACCATGTACCACATTTGCGGTGGAAGCCTCTCGTTGAATTGTCTAACATTTTTACGAACAATGCCGAGTAAAAAGTGTGTGAAAAAGTTTGATAAATTTGTGTATTCTTAAAAATTGACTGTACCGTTCAGTGACACTTGGCAAAATGAAGAACATCCATATGTGAACACCGAATATTAGGCAATAGTGGAAGATTAATTTGCCCACGATCGATTTCTTCAGGAACAAGGCTCTGTCGATGACTATCAATGCGAATTGCAGTAATAACATCAGTAAAAATGGCATTGGAACTCGATTTTCTTGCAAATAGGCCGTAACACCGCCGTCACCCTGTTGAGTCTGAGCAATTCAACAAAATTACACCTCGTTTCGCGAAGAAATAATAGGAAATTATTGGAAAAACGTTGGATCATTCACCCCAAATGCGGAGAATCCAAAAATGAGCAACAGGAAATTGAAGAAATCACAGAGGAACATGTAGGCATATACGTTCGTCTTTTCTTTGCCAGTTGTACTAAGAATTTTTTCGAAAAATTGTTTCATTGGTTCTGCGTACTTGTTTACACTGAAAATATATTGTAATCTTTAAATAATCGTTAAAAAGTAATCCTGTGAAATAATAACGTTGAACGAAGCACACTCACGTCATATTCATCGCTTTATTAAACTCTTCGTTCAAAGGGTGAATTTCTTCCCCTTGAACAGCGACTAATTTCTCGTGTTCATCGATCGACTGCACATTCTCACCCTCGCCTGTTGCATTCAGGTTTAAAATTCTTCCTTTCGGTGTTCTTACACGAGAATCATCTCTGTACAATAAAATATCCATGCCAATAAAATGAATTTAAAAGTACGTTAAATAATTTAGAAAATTTATCTACCCTGCTTCGTTCTGTCGGGACACCGATTCACCTTGGCCCTTATCCTCAGGTGGAGACCTCGATGGAACTATAGTTAAATTCGAAGGAATAATTTTCCTCGGTTTCAGGGATGGGGATGTCCATTGCCCTAATGACTTGAGCATAAATCTAGAAATAAAATCTCCGTTGAATTTCTGCAACGAATAAACGACAAAAAGAAGAATCTTTTCTGTGTCAATTTACCTATGGAAAAATACCATAAGGAGCAATAACAAATCCCACAGGGCGTAATTATGTTTACGTTCGACTCCCATAATTCTGGGCGTGAACAAAGGATTATTTGGCGCAGCATCTCGATTCCAGGGCAATACTTCCAATTGGAAGATACATTTCACTATCACAATTGCCTAAATAAATTCGATACTGTTCGTGTAATTAATGGTTTTCTAAAAGAAATAATTAATCGATTTAAAAAATGACATCATACCTCGGTGTACGCGATCAACGTTACCCAGAACGTTTTCGAGGGACGTGGAATGGTTAACGAGCCCCAACAGAATACCATGAGGGGCAGAGGAGTGGACAGGACGGATGCATTTTTAATTTGATGAAGAAACACCATGAAATAACAGAGCAGACAGGAGTGAGCCAACACACCGAACCAAATAGACGCCAATAATTGTATTATCGGTAGTTGATCGACTTCAGACAGTTCACCGCCTTCGTCGTCGTGTTGGACGGGTGAGATTTCAGAGAAAAGTGAGCTACATGCATAAAAATTAATATCAATATCACAGAAAAAATGGATAGTATTTCGATTAAACGATTCCACATAAATTCGTAGAAGAAAGAACACGGTATACTTTCTTCTACGAGACATAGAAAATATCGAAAGCACATAGAAAGCTAGACCTGTGAAATGTAACGTAAACAAATTCATCTGACAATCTTCTTTCTGTAAGCGTAAAAAATTCGTACGTTTGTCCAATGGAAAAGAATACTTCACCTTTACAGCAGTGCATGATACAGAGCGTATAGAGACAGAGAGATAGCGAGAGAAGGAGGGAAGGTGTAATCGACATGCTGCTTGCAAAGACCAAGCATGCAAAAGTGTGGATATATATTCGACGATCGAGTGAAAGCTAATTAAAATCGATTTCACGAAAGTCTCTCGATACCTGGAGGAGGACATGTCCAATCCTCGCTCCAAACTCGGTGCCAGAATTCGGATGTGCGGGACCGTCAGCGAGCTGCTTTTCCTATTAAAAAGGTAACACTCCTCTCGGTTCTACATTTGCTTCGGAACAACGTTTCAACGTTTGGATAGATTTCAGAGAAGAATGAAAATAAGAGAGCGAATTGTATTCACTCGATGAAAATAGAATTTGTCTATTAGTATCGAAGAATTATGCGATGGATGATGAACGAATACCATGAAGACAATTTTTTCTTGGCATTATTTGACAGTAAGTATTCACCGAAAAGAAGAGAGAAAGCATCTTCTACGAGATCTTACCTCTGTTCCGGTGTTCGTGGTTGACTAGGTCCCTCACCAGCATCGTAAGGTTCCTCGGTATTTCCATTAGCCGATCTGTCAGAGCGAGCACATTTACTACTCTAGCATCTACCATAATGCCTGGCCTAAATAGCGGGGTCAAGTATAAACTACTCTCCTTCACGATTGGGCGTATCAAATCTTTCTAACAAGGAGAGAAGCAAGTACTTAGGGTCAAGCATACTTCTACTGAAGCTCTAAAAAAAAAGTGTCGATATATACGGATTTACTATCGAGAAATTTAGCGACACCTCGAAAAGAGATTTTTAAGTTCCTTCAGAGAGAGAGAGAGAGAGAGAGAAAAAGGGATCCTACCCTCACTTTGCAATTATGATATCTGTACAGTGAAGCGTCTACCAACAGATGTTCGAAGAAACTAGAAAGGCAAGGATGTTCGTTTAATTACAATCTCGTTTACTCTTCGAATTCTTACCCTTTCTTCAGCAGTGGAATCGGCTGCCACATTTGATTGATACCCAGTCGCATTCCCATTCGAAAATCTGGTTTCTCCTGAGAGTAGAATCACGGAGTAATTAATTTACAGGATTAGGTACATGTGTTAACCCTTTGACTACGAAACGCGTATATACACACGCTCTCACAGATTTATCGATGTATACGAATATGTAAATATACGTCTTCCACGTTTCATTTTTCTTACTGTAACACCTTACTGTAGGAACCCAGGAAAAATTTTGAGGGACTCAAGGAGAATCGAACTCGTGAGAGACCTGGGGCTCTTTAAAACCGAGGCTTTACACACTACGACAAGATCTCCCTCTCTATTTTTCCTATTTGGGTACGGAGACCCTGACACCTTATTGCAGGAACCCAGGAAAAATTTTGAGGGACTCAAGGAGAATCGAACTCGTGAGAGACCTCAGTTTGGCAAAGTCGAGCCTTTGCACACTACGCTAAGATCTCCCTCTCTATTTTTCCCGGTCGGTTTCCTATTTGAGTATGAAGGCCCCAATACCATTGTACATTATTTAATTTTTCTATTTTGGTCAATAACCATAACGATGTGTGACAGAAATGCGAATATCGCGCCTTCTATTGTATATTGATGGTTCTGTGCGAGAGTTCTCCGCAGTCAAAGGGTTAATTCTCCCAGAATTTTTCCAAATACCTTCAGCAACTTCTTCTCTTTCGTCAGAACCTTGCGAATGTATCTGTAGTCGCGGGAGAATCTGTTCAAATATTTGGTCATCGATGTCAGGGTACTGTTGATCATCACCACGAGGAATTTGAAATACGTAGACACCGATACATTCTCGTCTTCTTCATCTTCCTTCTCCTTCTCCACCCGTTTGTCTTCTTCGCCGTACTCGTCGTCCGATGGTACAGGCGTTTTCTCTGGTTCAGCTATCGACGCGTCTTTCTCTTCAGTTTCTATGTCAGCTGACGTTATGCTTGTTTTATCACCGCCCTGATTCAAACGACAAATTATCCTTCTTATTATTACCCAATCTCATCTACGGACAATTTTCTATACGCGGAATTTGAAGAAGATTTCTATTAGATTTTTCTAGATTGTTAGTAATTTGAAATTATCTCTGAATTCTTCGTAGCGAGCAGTTTTGTCAGGTTCAAATTCCGCGTACGCGGCTGATGGACACTGAATATTATTGTTATAATATTAAAAGCGTGAGTATACGGTGCTACAATCGCTGTAAACGTAATGAGAAAACAAATTAAGCGAAGTATCGAGCGGCAGATTATGTACACCAACGACGAGGAGCCTCCTTCGACTACAACATTGAAAAGGAATGACACAAAAAACGTAAAAAGAAAAAAGAACAATCTGCATGAATTGTTACGCCACCGCTTCCTTCGTATTTTTTTGTTTGTTTTTTTTTTAATTTTGTACAAAGCTGTAAGATGCGAAAAGATAAAAAAAGAGGAATTAACTGTCGAAGCGCTGTAATAACTAGCGAGTAATAGGTACATATACATATTCGAGATATATCGCTATTATTCATGGTACTGCTGTGTTGTAGTTGTTGTTTCGTGACCCGTTACTGTGTTAAAAATTTTGTTAAAGAAACGTGTGTGAGTCTTGCTTTAGCTGGCTATTAAAAAAGATATACTTCCAAGAATAAATACATTGGTGGGAGGTTCGAGTGTGTTTCAAGTTCGACGTAGCGATGAGATACAACTAAAGAAAAATGAAAAAAAAAAAAACAAACGAACAGAAAAGAAGAAACAACAAAAAGTACGTGAAAGAAAGAAGAATATACGTGACAAGAGATAACGAACGATACAAAAAAATAAAAAAAGACATACAACGAAAGCTAAGGAGGAGAGAGTTTACTGACAGATAATAAAACTACCAAGAAGGAGGACGTTGGATAATCGAGAAAACGTATTAAAAACAATGGATAAACAACGTGAAATTATACAGAGGGAGAGAGAGAGAGAAAGAGGTAGAGAGGAAAAATAGAAGAATTAAATGGAGAAATGAGAAGAATACGACGAGACGCTGAGATAATGGAGGAAAAGAGCGTAAATGTAGAGGAACCAGTAGACGATAATAGAAAAAAATGAAAAATATTACTTAAGAATGAACGAGGAGAGAGAGAGAGAGAGAGAAAAAAAATAAAAGAAGAGAGAAATGGTGGGCAAGGTGAGAAAAAGAGAGCCTGTAGCAGTGACATGCAGCCTTTTAAGGGGGTCTCACATCGGTGGCCACTGCAGTGTCGATCTCGGAACGTGCACTGAGATACGACATTGACGATTTCTTCCTTGTTAAAGGCACACTCCGACGACGTAGTCTCAGCGCGTCCTTTTCTGTCCCTCCGTACATGGCGACGTGCGTCGCGATCTCAATGTCTGTCTTAATCAGGGTGTTCATCAACTGTAAGTTTAGAGTCATATCTTTCCATGCGATACCAAATTTCCTTCTGTATTTTTTTTTTTTGTTTTTTTATTTTGTTCTACTCGGTGTACAGTTGTCTGCTGTCTGATGACTCCTTGATGG